GCTATCCTTTGGTCATCATGTTAGTTGTCTTGGTTGTTTTATTTCGCTTCGGCTTGTGTATATTGGTGGGTGATTCGTTTGGGGTCGGCGACGCGTCCTGGGACGTCGCGATCAATACGACCGTTGAAGGGGTATCGCGAGCCCGTTGGGGTTCAAGGCGTGACACACGGTGTGTGGCTGCCACTGCAACTTCCATCGGAAAGTGACCTACGCCACCGCCCACGCCAACAGCAGGAGGCTGATGGTGTACTGGTCGGGCAGTGGGATAATGTCGAGTTGGCTAGATAGACTCAATTGGTAAAACGTAAAAAGGTCAAGAACTCAATTGGTACAATTAAAAAGTTTAGCACTGAATTGGTAAAAATACAATAGGTTTATGACTTTTTTGGTAATAATCCCACGGTAAATTCATATAGGCTTATATACCACATTCGTGTTTGATGCCTCCTAGATTAGATGCATTTTAGGCATAGTTCTCTAACTTACGAGCTAGAGTTGATCAGCTTTATAGAATAATGCAGTAAGCTCTTGAATTTAAAGTGATAATTTAGCACTTATGAAGTAGTGTAAATTAATACTATAAAAAATAGTGCACGTGAAAAAGGGCACACAAATGTGTGCTTGATTTGGATCTGGATTATCCAAGGAATTGAATTCAATATGTCAAAGGGTAAAAACATTTCATCAATTTAACAAATATATCTTTGACAGGATTTGTCACTAAAATGAATTATAAGGATTAAAATCGAACACTTACAAGAATGCGATGGTCAAAAGGGTACTTTCTTAAAAGGTTTTGTGCACGTAGGCGGCACCGCATAAGCTTGTACACTTTCTTTCTGACGTTTACTCCAAAGTTTTCTTATGCAGTGGGCGATTCCTCTCGGAGGCCCACAGCAATTTTGGTAGAGATCGTGCAAATTTTTAGATGGACGGTCTAACCTCAGAAAACAACAACTACGAGGTCGTGGAAATTGTCATTTTTTTTAATTATTATTCAAATTGGGTTCCAACTAGATATAAATAGCTGATAAACTTTGGATTTATGCGAGTTTTATTATAAGGAGTGAAATTTTGGCTCTTATTTTAAGGGGAGATTTTTCAAATAGTGTTTTCGGTGGAAGAGTGACAGGGATGGATTCCTATGCTCATAAATCATTCGTCATCAGTGACGTCTTCTCTTGACTCGGACTGCCATTTATTCTTGGCCTTTTTCCTATTAGTTTTTAAGTGTTCATTTTTGAAAAAAATCAGATTGAAGATTGAAAATACTAAACTCTCCTTATTTGAACATTATGCGTGCTACATATTTTTGTTAAGCAATTGACTATGAAATTGAACCACCCCGGTCGGAAAAATGATTATTGAACCGACTGATAAGTATCGTATATGATGTATTAATCGACAAACTTATTGTACGCACTGAATAGTTTCCGCACCGCTAGATCTCTCATAAGGCCTATGTAAACTCCATCACTTTCAATGATTTATATTCAACTTAGTATGTATGCACATATTACATTCATATAATAATTTTTTGCCGAATATGCTCGTTATGGGTGGTCGGCCCTTGTTTTCGGATTACGCTCGATCTCTATCGCTGCTCTTTCCATTAGGCATTATATATTTTAAGAAGTGTCAAAGAATGCTAATTAACAAGATTCTTTAGTATTTTTTTTTAAGTGTGTTTAAGAAATTCCGACCCAAAAAAAGGCACGTTAAAAAAATAAATAAAAAAAGAGTAAATTTGACTTTTCAACCGTGGAGAAGTGGCAGGCGATAATTACGAGCCTTTATGCCACATGGGCCCCATCACCACCGCCCATCCCCCCTCTCTCTCTCTCTCGTCGCAAATGATCCACTGGGTCGCAGCGCATCACAGAGACGACAAGATGGAGGCTCCTAATGCTGACACGTGTCGTTGTATAGTGGTACAGCTGGGCTGCCGGCTGGCACCGTTGTCCAGTTACGTGCGCAAGAGGTCCCACACGCCATCCTGTGAACTGGACCGTGGGTGGGTTAGGGTGGGCTCATAGTGAATAGATCTGAATTAATTTATTAATCGAACATAAATTTAGAAAAGCAGGTATTTATTCGCATTGTTTTTGTCTTTTTGGCCCGAGTAGGTATACCATAAATTCACATTGAAGCTTCCTGAAAAAAGGGCACTCATTATATATTCCAATTAAATAAGTCATTATTAGATGGGATTGATCATTAAAAACTGTTTTCCTGTTTTTGCGCCCTTTGCCATAAAGAAAAGAGACTAATTTTGAGATCCTCGGTGAATAAGTTGAGTTGGTCATATCTAGTATGCATCTTTGATAGACGGAGGATTTTATAAGATATTTGATTATTCGACAATCATTTTAATTACCGCGAATTACGATTTTATGCATCTGCAATTACAGATTGAGATAATACATTGATGACAGCATGACTTTTCTTTGGATATTTCGATGAAGATTTAAAGTCGGGATATTTTCAGTAGGTTTGCTTGATTGAAAATAGTTGAGGCACGAAAACTGATTCTAATAGGCATGGGATATAAGCATTTTCTATTTTATAGTGTTATTGTAAATAATTGTGGTGTGAATATACGACGATGTTACCGAATTAGTAATTTCTTAGAACGAGGGCATGTAATCATATTACATCATTTATGTTATTAATGATTTTCCAGGGATGAAGCCGTGGGTCCCACCGCACAGAATTAAAACCCTTCTTCATGCAATGCCGTTTTCCGAACATCGAACACATGATATATTAGGGAAAGTGACTTCACCAGAGAAAAGCACACTTGCAATAGTGAGACTAGGTCTGGTCGATGTGGTTTTATTGAGTTATAATGTATATCTTGAAAGCCGATATAAGTTGTTACACTGTGAAAGCATTGTAACTCCGAAGGTGTTGTAGCTGTAAGTCGAATGTCGAACGACTTGTAAAGGCAGCAAAACCCCTTTTCACTACCGAAGTTGCTTGTTTAGAAAAAAAAAAAACGTATCGTTAAAGGGTGTCCACGTGTCATGTAGACATGATATTCATCAACCCATGATTAGTATAATGATGTAATTTCTTCTTTTTTTCGATTTTTCGCCTTTTGAATCCATGATGACCTCTTCTTCTTTTTTTACTTTTTAGCGTTATATGATATAATTGCCCTGTGACCATTGAACAGAACGCTTCAAAGGTTAGTAGGAGGCCCAATCATTAATCAACAATCTATGTATTTCACGGCGTCTGTGGGCGGAGGCCTCCAGCGGACATTACCTTAAGTCAAGTAATCGATGACATTTTTCTTGTGCCAGGATACGAGTTGTTGTAATTTCGACGGCTAAGCCCAAACAAAGGAGGAAAATCATAGCGATTTGTTAATTATAAAAGCATTTTTTTTTACATAGATTGAATTTGAAGTGTAATTTTGACATCATGGGGAGTGACAAATCGAGGCCCCGCGCATCCATCACTCACAAACTCGCAGGTGATTTTGAGGAGGGTGGCTCGTCGACCACCGAGAATGACCGTGGGCATGGGTTTTAGGGTTCTGCAGGCATGTGAGGGCAGAAGCGACGACAAGGGGGAAGAAAGATCAGGGATTTGGAGCGAGGAAGATAAGAAATGTGCAATGGTCAAGGAAGGAACTAGAGAGAGTTGTCGTTGGAGTCGAAAAGTTAAAAAATAAGGGCTATAGAAATATCTATTGAGCATTGATATTTTTCAAAGTGATTTCCACCTTAAACTACGTGTAGTAAGGGCTATAGAACTACCTACCCTCTGACCGATTATTTTTCAACATTGGCTGCTCTTTGGTTCGTCCAAGAAAAAATAAAGGGAGAAGCACACAGAAAATTCTAATATTGCAATTTAGGAAGCACCGTGGAGCCTTTAGGGCCCTTCCTGTTATTTCTTCCCCTAAGGAGTCAGGATATCAAGCCGGATCTTCCTATAAATTGTTCGAAGGCTTTATATATATGGCAAATTTTAGGATAAGCGATCGCTGATAATGCAACATATCAATAGTGAAATGAAGTTTATTGGTTTCAAATGACAATATTTAATAGGCTCAAAGTGAGAGGGCTAAATTCTTAAGTGAGATCGAGGGTTTAAAATTTATTCAACAAAACACCTTTTTTGATAGAAAATAAATTTTAAAAAAAAAAGAAAGTTTAACGGTGTAGCAACTGTCCTGACGCTTTGAATGTATTTATCAATTATGACCACTTGTCCACGGATACCAATACCAGCAATTGTTTTTTATTATTTGGTTTTATGTTTTTTTTCATTGCTTCTGCATCGAAACTTGCTCACATGTTTTCTTCTTCCTAGGCGGGGTCGTCTTGGATTCTTATGTGCATTGAAACTTCCACCGCATGAAGCCAACGACCATAAACGCATGGTTAGTGGTCCCAGTCCAGGAATTACTTATCTAGCTTGGCAAGTTTCAATTATTGGTGCGCGCCTTAAATTAAATATATAATGAAGTAAAAGCAAAAGCGAAAGCGAAAAGGCATTTTGATTTATTTCTAATATTTGAAGGAGAAATTAAGGCGGAAACAGAGTAAAAAAGAAATTCTTTTCATTATGCTCAAGTACAAAATGAAAAAAAAAATATATTATAGAGATGGCATGTTGATAATTTTTTATGATCCTCGACCTGCGTTAATATTTAATAGGCTTAAAGTGAGAGGGTTAAATTCCTAAGTGGGATCAAGAGCTTAAATATATTCAATAAAAATAACTTTTCTGATGGAAAATGAATTAACAAAAGCAAAAGGAAAGTTGACCGGTGCAAGCAGTGGGACTAAGTTCAAGGAAGACTCGTCCCAAGTCTCTCTCTCTCTCCACTTTCCATCTTCCCAACAAATCTACCGTTTTATTACTTCTTACTGGAGAGGTATCGCCTGGGATTCTCTTGTGCAATGAGATTTCCGCCACGTGAAGGCCACGTGGTTGACGAGCTTGACTTGTTGGTCTGACCGTGGTTGCGAACTGGTTCCATTGTATAAATCAAATCCCAAGAGGATGGGCAACAAGAAGGCATTTCTTGTTTCCTGAGAGGCGTTCTAGTTTTTTTCTCCGTCAGACTTGAAGGCGCAAATCAAGGGCAGAGTCGGAGCAAAGCCGAAATGCATCGTCCCATTGAGAAGAGGAAAACTAGTGCGGGCAGAAATGCAGAAGATGTTGATACTGACGCATCTGGTTCGATGACCGCGCCAGCAGAAACTAATTCCAGTGGATCTAGTTCGTCTCCGACAGAAACTAACAATGGTGCATCTAGTTCGTTGACTGCGTCGACTGGAAATTGCTACGAGGTGTTCTTGAGCTTCAGAGGCCCAGATACTCGAAAAGGCTTCATCGATCACCTCTATAATGGGCTCTGCAATGCCGGAATTCATGCTTTCAGAGACGATGACGAGCTCCCCCAAGGCGAGAACATCAGACCAGAGCTTTTGACAGCCATCACGAACAGTAAAATCCTAATCCCCATTCTCTCCGTGAATTATGGTACAAGTAGTTGGTGCCTAAATGAACTGGTTCAAATAATGGAGTGCAAGAATAATAACGGGCACATAGTGTTGCCTATATTCTACAAAGTGAAACCAGCTGACGTGGGATATCAAATCGGGAGTTTTGGAAACGCATTTTATGAGCGTCAGAGGCGTTTGCTCGAGAGGTCTTCTTTCGACCCAACGATTTCGGAGAAATGGAAGCAAGCTCTCACCGAAGTTAGCACCTTGAAAGGATACGAAGCCGAGGGGTAATATTTTTCACCGAGACATTCTCTACTTTCTATTAATTTGTGTTGGTGTTTATTGATTGTTCTGATTCTTGCCTGCTTCATTTTCGTTATATATATATAAACATTAAGATCTTGCTAGCATTAAGATCTTGCAATACATGAGTTCTACAAGTTATTTTTTTAGTTTTTTGCATTAATGATATTGACCAATCTAATTGAAGATTTTATTGCTACGATCCCATACTCTTGAATGATAAGATTTTTTGAATGAATTTTTAATCTTCTATCCAAAGATTTTGTAACATTGTGACATTTTTTTTATGTTTATAGTGTACGCTACATTAATCTTCATCGCAGACTTTTTTAATTAATATTTCTTTGAGATTAATAGTACAACTCATTGGTGATTTTATTTAAAGCTCACAACATCATATACCGTGCATGGTGATTGTCAAAGCCATAATTCTTTATCTTCCCAAGTTACATTTATTAAATCATTAATATCGTTGATTAGTTGCTATTTATTTTACAAAAGAAATGTTTCATTGGTTATATATGATGATTGTTTATATAAAAAAGGAAAAAATATTATTTTTATTATACGTTTGTTTAAATAATTTTCAATGCATTTCATATCTTCAACAAGTAATTTCTATCACATACACCTGCATATATTGAAGCAATGCTCTTATTTTGGGTAAAAATTATTCTTCTACTTCCCTATAAAATCGATGTTAGATCAATTGAAATCATAGAACATAGATACTCAAAAGGAAAATAAAGTACAACCTGATATCATCCCTAGAGGCAATGAAAACAAATAAGAACACCCGTCTAGAATGGTACTAAATTCACAACACGAGGGGAACTTGCAAGCGTGGAGAATTGTGCAAACCAGGAGAAATCCCCTAATTTGCATTAAGGTAGCTCACTATATCACACTCTGTACGACTTTTCGAATTCGCATTGTTGGGCCTGAAATCCTCGTGCATCAAAAGTTATGACCTGTTTATTGATTGATGGTTGACTTTCATACTGGGCTGGCTTACTGGGTTTTTGCTTATTCAAATGTTGTAGAAAATTTTCAAAGTCCATGTTATCCCTAAATATCGTTAACAAACAACAAGTTTAAAATTTGGTTCAAATCCATAATGTATATACAGTATTCAAGATTCATAAGCAATGCCCTGAAGTTTCTTTTGGCTTAAGAAATTTTGTCAAAGTAATAGTGGAATGGTGCCCGCCATGCGAAGCAACCACCGACATTTCCCACTCTAGTTTTAGCATATAAGATAATACATGGAGGTGTGACAAAAACGATTCTTAAAGTTATTCTGTTTATCCCCAGATTTATTTATTACCGTGTTCTCAATACATAAAGAATATAAAATTATTGTTGCCACATATTTGAACTATTGTCCCATTTGACAGGTATGAAGGAGAGTTGGTGAAATTGATTGTTCGAAAAGTGTTGAGTGAACTGAAGAAGAAGTTTGAGTTGGTTATTTCTGAGAATTTGGTCGGAATTAATAGTCATGTGAAGGAGATTATGGAATTTGTGGATAATAAATCTCATGCCACCCTGTTTGTTGGCATCCACGGAATGGGAGGCATTGGTAAGACTACTCTTGCTAAAACCATCTACAATAAGCTCTCGAATCAATTTGAGCATCGTAGCTTCATTGCTGATGTAAGGGAATCATGGCAGCGTAATGGTGCACATTACTTACAAAATCAGTTAATCTATGATATTTTGAAGAAAGAAAATGCGGTTCGTAATGAGGATGAAGGGATTAATTTCATCTCCTCCAAGTTTAAAAATAAAAAGGTCCTCGTTCTTCTTGATGATGTCGATGATGTCACTCAGGTGAACCGTTTGGTTGGTAATCATGATTGGTTTTCTTTAGAAAGTAAGATCATTATTACCACCAGAAATGAGAAGATTCTTAGAGCAGCTAAGGTGGACTACACCCATGAGCATAAGGAAATGGATGACGAACAATCTTTGATTTTGTTTAGCAGACATGCGTTTCGAATGGACTCACCTCCAAAGGAATTTGAGGACCTCACTCATGAAGTTGTATCCATCACAAATGGACTTCCCTTATCCATTGAGGTTTTAGGTTCATTATTGTGCGGAGAAAAGCAAGCATTCTGGAGAGGTACAATAGACAAGTTAAAAAAAGTGCCTCCCAAGGAAGTGCGAGCAAAGTTAATGATAAGTTACGAAGCATTAGACTATGAACAAAAACAAATATTTTTGGATATCGCTTGCTTTTGTATTGGCACTGACAAGAGAATCGCATCCTACATGTGGGAAGCCTGTCGCTTTTTCCCTGATGAGGGAATTGAAGTATTGAGATTCACGTCATTAATAAAAATTGGAGATAATCATGATCTCCGAATGCATGACCAACTGAGAGATCTTGGTAGGGAAATAGTTCGAGAGGAAAATCAGCGGGAGCCTCAAAACCGTAGCAGGTTATGGGACTTTGAGGAAGTCCAGAAAGTGCTAGAGGAAAATAAGGTAACCATTTCGTTCTTTTGCTCACTTAGTCCACGTTCTACTTTTAGAGTAATGTTGGTCCACTACTTAGCGCTTGCTCTAGTGAACAAAGAACCTTCTACTATTATTGCCCTCGAATGTGTTATTGACGTGATCATAAAGTAGGGAGGTTGCTCTCTCTTAGTAAGTATAGTAGTATTATCTGAGATTTTTCTTAAAGTGTATATTACGAAATTATCTCCAAGAATGAGATACTTTGAAATGTTTTAGATAATTGATAGGGGTATTCAATGTTGGTAAGATCTAGAATTTACGTCTTCGACACATGCGATAAATAACTTGACTATGCTACTATAAATCGTAATTACTTAAGATATATAAATCATTAATATCTAGATGTTAAATTAATATTATAGGACTAAGATGCCTGCATTTCTCGTGAAATTTTAGTCATTATTCCATAACGGAGAACGAAAGGGATACTTATTTTATGTAATATTACGTTTGGAATTCCATTTACCAATATTCATAGGAAAAGGATTGATTTAAGACTCACCGAATAAGATAGGAGCAAAAATTCCATATATATAACATATATGTGTGTATATAACATCAAGCGTATTTTATGCAATCACCATTAGAAATAGAAATGTTTTATTTTTTTCTGAATAAAAAATCCAAGAGATAAATACTGTAAAATTCTATTTTGTATAATTTTTTTTTATTTTTTTATTTTTTGTATAATTAAGTTTGTGAGTGTGTTTGCATTTGTGAAATTAATCATAATTTTTAAACTAAAAAGGTACATTTAATATAGTTATTTTAGTATTTTTGCATGACTCCATTTCGCTCTTCATCCATGATACTATCATAAAAAGAAGCCTAGCCTTTTGCATATGGGACGAAAATAACATTACCTTTCAACCTCATCCTTTTACTCATATGATGAAAATGACACCTGCCATCAATTCTTCCTATTCTCGCTTTAAATCACCCCGCGTCATCCTACATAGCTCATGGTGCGAACATGCACAATGAACCACGCTAATCGTGACCACAAATGACTTCTCTTTTTACAGAAATCCATAAATTTCGTAAGAAAGATTATAAACAAAGTTTGTTAACAAGATTATAAAATAAAGCACAACATCTTTTTTGGTGTGGGTTGACATGGCTCAATGTATACGTTAGCACGGTGAGCAATCTAGGATACCCATGGTGATTTAACGATGATAGTGGATGAAATTTATAACAGGTGGCAGCTTTGTTCTACGGTTAAATAGTTGGGCTATTTTTATCCTGTTCGAAAGGTTATTTTATTTTTGTTGTAGATGCCGATGGTTAGGCTTTGTTGACGTTTTAAAGGTTTTTCTGCTTTTATCCCAAGTACAAAAGGTTGGGCTTATTTTCAGGATTTGGCCAAACTCTATTTATCGATTTTTGAAGGTGAAAAAAGTTGCGCACCACACATAAAATTCTTGAAGATAGATAGGGTATCATGATATTTTGAGAGGGAAGTTTATGGGAGAATGACTAATGTGAGTAGATTTCTTTTGTTGAAGATTTCTTCCTTTTTTTTTTTTTTATATAGTTACTCTTCTCTTAGATTCCTTTTAGGTGTTGAGATCTGATTCCTTTCCAAATTATAATTTCAATCACCTATGAGTATCCATGAAATCTTGTACAGCATTATGAATTACAATAACAAAATTTTTGGTTCGGAGAAACTGATGTGGAAATCCATGAACTTTCTATTTTACTACGTGAATTCTTATGCATAAGTGATTTTTTTTTTCTTGTGAAAGCTTACTACACATTTGGTTCTCAGGAAGAAATATTCTATTTCCAATCTATTCCAATAAAGCAATTATTCCTTAATTTTGTTCAAAAATAGATTAGAAATTACTATTCTTTCCCAATCAGGAATAGTTATTCCGGGGGACCAAGGAAAAGCTATTCCATGTAGGCTTGTAGCCAAGAGTAGCTTCAATTTTCACATTGCAAAAATGCTTTGCACTTTCAACAATTAATTTTTTTTAATATACATCAAAGTTATTAGGGTCTGTTTATTACATTTATTATACTTGAGTTACTCATTTATTTATGATTATGATTATATCAAATTGTAATCTATAGTTAAACTAAAATTTATGATAAAATAATAAGTTGTAGAGAATATTAATATAACCAATATTATTGTCTTAGTTATTTATAATTAGAAAATAATTAATTAACAATATTTCAAGTTACTATCAGTAAAATAATAACTACATAATATATTAATATTACTACTATCACAATTTTCAGTTTCTTGTAATTAGTTATTACTCTAATGGAAAATAAGAGTATATGTTATTTCTTTATTAATCATGTAAGTAGCTCAGTTGAGTAATATACACGAAATTAATATGAAATTTATAGAGAGAAAAATATATATTTCTATTAAATACTGTTTATTGGCGTAAAAAGAAAATCATATCTTCACATTGCTAGCAATATGAACAAAAGATATTCGATTACTTTAGTTGGATTTAGTATTAATGAAGGTTCTTGCTAATAGGGAACGGACAAGATTGAGGCGGTTGATCTTAGTAAAGGCAACTCAGAAGGCTCCGACAAAACAACCGAGCGAGATGGCGACATTTATACAGAAGAACAATTCAAAAAATTGACGAGTCTAAGATTCCTTCACATGGATGGGGCACAATTTAGTGGAGATTTTAAAGACTCAATGGAGGGGTTAAAATGGCTTCGATGGCAAAATTGTCCCATGAATTTTAAAGTAAAAAATTTTCCTGTAAAAGAATTAGCTGTACTCGAATTGTCATACAGCGAGATAAATAAGAAACGGAAAGGGTGGAGTTCTTTCATGGCAAGAACAAGTCGTTTTTATTTTTTCCATGTATGCAAGATAAATAAGAAATGGAAAGGGCGGAGTTCTTTCGTGGTAAGAACAAGTCTTTTTTTATTTTTTCCATGTATGCTTTCTTTTGAATCATAATCACTCGAGATTAACCCCCTTGAAAGTCATTATTTTTTTTATTTTACCAGACGGCGGAGAAGCTCAAATATCTCAGCCTCACGGATTGTGAATTCTTGCAAAATACGATCTTCCTCTCCGCTTTTAAGCATTTGGAGGTTCTCATCATCGAAAATTGTTGGAGACTGAAGCAGATCGATCCTTCAATTGGAGACATGAAGGCCCTCCTTCGCTTGGATTTGAAGCGGTGTTGGTCCCTTAGAAAGCTTCCAGCAGAAGTAGAGTCTCTGGAGAATCTAGAGATTCTGGATATTTCTGGAACCCGCATAGAAGAATTACCCAAGGGTATTGGGAGGTTGAGAAAGCTCCGAGAGTTACGCGCTTCACATTGCAGAAATCTGAAAGGGGAATTGCCGGAGAGCATGTGCAATCTTTCTTCCCTACAACGCCTTGATTTTCTTCTCTGCAGAAAGCTCCAATCACTGCCGGACGACCTTCCTTCCAGCTTAACAGATTTGAGCGTCACCTGTGGAAGCCACAAATTGCCCTCACTTTCCCACCCAACCCATCTCAAGCGACTAGAAGTTTATTCATGTGGATCTCTCGAGTACATCGAAGTGCTTCCATCAACACTATCGAAGAATTCAGAATGCTCCCAACCGACAGACATTGAAGAATCAGAATTACCACAATCCCTAAACACTCCCTCCGAGTTGGAAATCTTGAAGGTTTGGCACTGTCGATCTATTAAAACAGTGGACGTTTCACAGTTTATCCATCTAAGGACATTATACATCTATGATTGCAAGAATCTAGTTGAAGTTCGAGGTCTTGACAAATTGATATATTTGGAAAGCTTGACTGTCTCAGTGTGCGGTTCAATTGAGAGGCTGCTCCTTCCAAAATCCAAGAGCCTGAAGAAATTAGATGTTCGATGGTGCACGAAATTACCCGAAATTCAAGGCCTCGATAGGTTAGAGTTTTTGGAAAGCCTGAATGTCTCTGAGAGCCATTCAATTGAAAGGCTAGACCTTCCAAAATCCGGGAGGCTGAAGATATTAGACGCTGATGAATGCAAAAACTTAGCTGAAATTCAAGGCCTCGATAGGTTGGAGTTTTTGGAAGAACTGAGGATCGGTGGATGCGAGTCACTCAAAACAATTCCAGAATTATCTGGAGTGCGGATTTATCGAAATTACGAGCGAAAATAACCATTTCGGTCAGCCGTGTGAGTAATATACTGGAAATGGTCCATATTTTCTAACTAAGGGTACATAAAGTAGGTAAGTTACCTTTGCTCTTTTGAGATCTACCGCCCAATTTTCATTTGTATTTCCTGGTTGACAGTGTCATGATTGTATCCTTACTTGGATTCAAGGTATTCAGGGGAGATGTTCATGGAAGTCAATGTGTGCTTTGGCAATATGATTCTGCTTATCATGCCAGCAATGGAAATAGAAGAAAAGGCTTTCTAAGCGCATCATTTGTCATTAGTCTTTCGGGGAGGATCCGTCATCCTATGCAGAAAAATAAAGATTCTCGACGTTTGATTGATTCTGGAATGTTGGAGGTACTGAATAAAAACCGATGTATACAGGTATTTCATAGCATGCCAAAGGTTATCGTTTAGGCCGAGAAATGCTAAATGAAGGACCCTATATGGCGGTCCTTCTAATGTGAGGTTTTAGTTTGCTTTGCACTCATCATGCAGTTCGTGACTGCATGTTTCTAAGGTACCCTTACTGAGTGAATTTACGGTGGAAAAGGAGCGTGTTGACAGGGCATCCCTTAGTATGCGTATGCTACTGACTTGGGGTAAAATCCGCACATTTGTGTCCTACACATTTTACGCTTGCATTGTCTCTGAATCAAATCCGCCTACAAACTATATAAGGACAGAAATGAAACAAACATCATTCTTCCAAATAATGCATCTTGATGTTTGCAGAGTTGGTAAAGCCATCTGTCATATGCCTGAACTTTTGAGCCAAGCAAGAAATTAACTAGAATGTCTTTTGACATAATCAACTGTTCTGTGAAATAATCCCTTATATTGTGCATAAGCTCTTGTTAGTGCATTTACATGCTGAAAATAAAAACAGAGGAAGCAATTCCATAAGTTTCCTTAGGAGATGTTGCGGTATCCTATATGCCATTTGAAAACTGTCTTGCATCAATTCTAATGCATGAATAGCACATAATGATGAGAAAAGGATCATACTATGTCCCACAAAAGCAAGCAACTTGTGTTGAATTCACTATTCTAATTTGATCAAGGCTTCTGTGGTTGCTGATGTTAGATGCCCCATTAGTTGGATCCAAAGAGTTCAAAAAGGATATCGAGTTTGACAAACTCAGATCCGTAAACTTCAGAGTATTATTAGTAGTTTGGTGATCTTAGTTGCTGGACTGATTTCATCTGACTCATTGGCAGAATTCGGTTATCATTCCACTGCTTGATGTAAATGCTGAAATATCCAAGAGAGCTTTCGCAAGGCATTTCTAAAAGGAATCGAAATCATCAAAGGATCTTGAGCTCGATGTTCCAGGAACTTGTCCAAACCCTGACAATGCATCCTTGGAATGGTAAAGGTTGTCAGCATGTTGTCATCCCAGGTTGCCCGTATTATATTTGACAGAAGCTTTTCGGAGATGAAACTGTCAGCCTCCACTCCTGTAATCAAGTCTGTTTGTCTCTCTTATTTTCTCTCCAACCTGTTCCTCTTCTGCAATATTCTCTGCATACTCTCGGACTCGCTGGCTTCTCAGGTTCAGCTCCCATTCGACGTGCTTTTGTGACCTAATGGGCGGTTGACTTGACTGTTCGGCCTCTGTTTTATGATATTTACTTGATTTCTGATTGGCAGGTGAAGATGGCGGAGTGGAATCCGGAGAAGGATTTGCTGGCCATAGTCACGGAGGATGAGAAGGTGGTGCTTCATTGCTTCAATTGGCAGAGGCTGTGGACAATTCGAGAAAGTTCTCTTTTTTTCTATTTGAGTGTGTTCTTGTCTTCAACGATGGCTTATTGTACCCTTTGAGTCATTGGCCTTATTTCGTTTTAGTTCTTTCGCTTTTCCTAAATGTGCTGTGCTTCCTTCTGGTCCAAATTGCATTCAATGGAGAATTGGACGAACATAGAGGTAAAGTGCTCGAATGTATGAACAAGAAGACCACGTTGAACTTAAGGAATTGGTGTTTTACACAAAAATGAAGAGTGAATGACGGTGATACAAGATGAAATTTAGAGATGACTTAGTTGCATGTAAATAATTCCAAGCTGATATCTGTTGAATGGAGGGACTTTTATTTATAGCAGCGATACATTCCTGTTAACTTCTAGACAAGGTTGGTGCCTTAGGGGATTTTTTTCCATATCTTAACCGATGGTCATTTAGACCAACCGGAAGTGTACCATACTCCTGTTTTGCCATCTTGTTGCCCTTTTTGGTGGACCAGTTAAAGTGTCCATGAAAAATAAAGAACTCGACTTGGAGGGGATGTCATTTATGCTAGATAGTCTAGCTATGTCAGATGCTGAAATGCTAGATGCCAACATGGAGTTGGCAGGTTTAGCCCATGCAGAGTACCATCTCAATGTCGTCAGGCATCTATGTAGTTTTCCTTCGATTTCTGTTGGTGACTCACGATGTAATATTACTTCTGGCTCCTCTTCTTGTGCTGATTGAGCGTTCCCTACAAGGAGAGATTTAGTATAGTCTGGAAAGTTTCTCACATTTTGTATTGCTAAAATATAGAGTCTAGTCTGGAAAGTTACTCACATTTTGTATTACTTGAAGTTAAATTTATCTTCTTCTGATTAAAGGGGCATTTCGTCACATCATTTTGACTAATCAAGTTCGTTGTTGGGAATTTAACTTACTTGTGAATAGGATATATCTCAAGCTATGCTGCATATTTGTACACAATCTGGTCAGGGATGGAGGGAGGAGTTGGAGAAAGTGAAGAGACTAGGAGGGTAGGGGGAGCTGCATCTCAGTATGTTAAGTTCTTACATGACATTATCTTTTGGTAATTCAAATTCGTAAGAGCTTATGATTAGATGCCTAGCCTTGGTAATTTTTGTTATCTATTCTCACTGGAAAAATTTAGAGGAGTTTTTTTTTCTCCAGAAACTTCTGAATGCTTCAAACGTCATATTGTCTTCTGGATACGAAAAACATGTTGTTGAGAGCACTATAGTGCTTGAACCAATCCTTGAATGGTTTCTGTTGAGATCCTATGTTGTAGATACTTGTACACTCGTGATCTTTGCCTTGAGTTTGCTTTCATGGATCCACACCACTTTGAGGTTCCAAAGCTGAACAAGAAGATTCGTTTTTGGATTGAGACAATGGATTGGAGGCTGCCAAAAAGATATAGATTCCCTAGCTTTAGATGACTTACTCCCCCAAAGAAACACCATATCAAGCCACCGATATCCCTCTCAATTATATTGTACTGTTACGAATTTGATTATCATTTTCTTGGTTTATGTGTGTTCTCTATCTTTCCTCTTCGTCTACTAATTTTTTTGTTGTTGTTGTTTATGAACTCACTTTTCTTTGCATGTTTCATTGTATGTCGTCAATACTGTATTCTCTTAACTACTCTTATGTACTCCAGGTAAATGTATAACATCATTATGCTAGCGTCCTGATGGGACTAGAAGACGGTACGGTTTTACTGCATGATGTTGAAGTAAATTTTCTATGTTATTATTTTAACATTACCATCACTACTTCTCAACTAGAAATTCTTCCTGCAACAATCCTTTGTTATCAGAATGTGTTCTTCTCTGATCTCTCTCGGGAAAGATTCTGAATTGCTCAAAAGCTGCATGATGCATGCGAACAGCAAGCTTGCTCAAGGAACATTTAGCTGCTAATAGAGATGGCAATCCATGTTTATGGTTCATGTCTGCCAATGTCAAATTAAGTGGACTGCTCGATAGGGCAATCTGAGTAGGATAAGCTTAACAAATCTTATTAGAGTCCAATAGCCTGCGAGCTACGACGACCCTTGCCGGCCACAGTGATCAAATGCAAATGTTGATCAAGGTCACTGTAAAGAGCCTTGTGAAATTCATGATTACTATTGCCTTGAGAAGCTGTAAAGAGCCTTTTCTGATTTATAGTGGTTTAGGTCTTACGATATTATAAAGTCCTCTTACTTTCCCCATAATGAATAACGACTTACAAGTTGTGTCTTTTGACTTTTTTCATTTACTCAATTCTGTGGACAGTGGTTTTTGTGATTGCTTCATGTTTATAACTTATTTTAATCTGGTGTTTATTAACTGACTGTTTTTGCTTATACAGGTGACTGATATATATGGAAACTACCTTTCTACTGAAGAAGCTAATGGATCTAAAGTGATCAAATAAAGGAGCTTTGCAAGTTATGTTAGATTTAAAGTTTGTATATGATATTCTTTCTGTAGGTGATTCCACTACGGATGAGGAGTTGTCTAGAAGTTCAAAGCCAAAGTATTCGTTTAGGCAAAAGGATCAAAGACAGAAAAAGTCTGCCATCAGAACATGTATGGATGGATTGGTACATTGTCTTTCACAGAGATTGGGTCCCATAGACTGGCTCACGTAAGTTACTGGATTTGTTTTTTGCATTACATATTCTATAAGCACACGGTACTCCAAGATGTTTCTACAAAATCCAATCTCGCTTCTCACAAATATTGGCATCCGACAGTTTAAAACCTTGATTCTTTTTTTCATTTAAATTTGTTTCAAAGAGTGGCTTTTAAGCTAAGAGATGAAGATTTTATATGATCCGTGCTTAGATTAGAGGGTAAATGACAATAGTAGGAATAGAAAGAATTCGTTCATGGTCAAGCGGTTGCCCTTTTGTTAAACCTGGGTAGAAGTTATTGCATGTGAGATTATTCTGATATCTGAACTGCTCTTTCACATGTAAATGATGCTTAGATGATGATGCTCGATTTTGTGCAATTAGTTGTAGTTTTGTTTGATTGTGTACTAAATGCTCTTTTTGGAAAAGGTGAAAAGGACGAACATGAGAGGTGAGGGAAGAAGGTGGAAACATTAAAATTCCCTAGGATTATCAGTGATGACTTCAAATGAATTCACCGAAAATAGTTACAATCTTTACCTTCTTTTGGTGGTCTACTTACTATGTTAAAATGTAAGAAGAAATAACTAATTGACACCCTTGGACCATCTATCTGGTATTAGCTGAGTTATGTTTACATCCCAATAGATAGTTTTGTGATTATAACTCTTCATTTTGTTGCAGTTACCTAATAGTGTTTTCTTGTTCATTCATCAAAGGTTAGAGCCATATCTGTGGGAGAATGAGAGACAGTCATATTTACGGCATGCTGTCCTCTTCAGGTTCTTTGTGCAACTTAATCGGTTGTATGTGGATACAGTGCAGAAACTGCCCTCGAATGCAGAATCAAATATTACGAGATGCTCCACAGTTCCCCAGTTTAAATACTTCCAATCAGGTTAAATATACCTTTCCATGTGTTTGTGCTTACAGGATAAATATTTGAGCTTTTGTGACCAGATTATCTCAAGAAAAGCGTCTCTTGTTATTGAATTCTGTCTGCAGTGTACCTGCATTGTCTTCAAGGAAGACATCTAAAGCAACTACTGGTGTTTCTATAGAACATTTTTCATTGAAGAGTCGGAAATCTTATAGTAATGGAGAAATTTCTCGAACAAATGATTTGGATGACGGATCATCTTCTAGAGTTGCAAACTCCATTGTTGAAGTCGTTTATGCAGGTGAGTGTGCTTTCTTTCTTTTGGTTCTTTTTCTTTGCCTTGTTATATATTATTTTATCATGTCCCTGGCTAGTCATCTACCTGCTTTATAGAGTTGTGTCGTGAACATCTGTGTTGGAGATGATACATCTAACTTTCTAAGCTCTGTTTGGACTTAATCTTTTAGCCTTGATATTTTCTTATTTGGAGACGCTCATAATTTTAAATTTGATTATATCTTTGGTTGTCAGGGTGTTTATTGGGGGTTTTCTGTTTCATTGCATGCATTACTGTTTAAGTTAACTGAGTCATTTGTGACATGGAATGTAATAAGTACCAATAGTCTGGGACACGGTGCAAGAAAACTCGGTGGTGCAACTGTCTGAAAGTGGTGATAAAAGTTTATAACTTTGGCCTTCCTTTTTTGAGCTTGTTTGTGTAGTTGTGCACCGAGATAGTACCATGTACTTCATGTTGTTTGCGTACATTGGGAGTAGACATTGGCTTTTTGCTGAACATTGTAATTGTGAGAAGATTTTAGTTTCAGAGATGTCAGATATTTGGCTAGGTGTTTTGGAAAGAAAGTCTTTTTCCATGTTCTATGACATACATCTGATATTATTTTCTCCCACAATTGGCCAGGTTAGCAGCAGATTTGGAGAGAACACATTGAAACTGGGATCCATCCTGACTGATGGTCAAAGTGGGCATATTCAAGGACAGTTCAGCCGCCGCCTTATCGGCATTCAGTGATGTTTTACCTGTGCAGGCCCTTGTTTCATCCTTCACTGCAACCCAACAGATGCTTGAATGAGAATTATTTACACTATGCCAATTGATATTTACATCGGAAGCCATGACAGGTAAAACGTGAGGCTTTTTCACACTTTGGCTTCCGGCTTTTTTAAGTTTCACCCGAGATTCTGGGGTACTTCCGGATTAGTGGTGTGGCCCAAAAGCTGTATTTATAGGACAACAGAATGAAAAAGAGAATACCTTTTGGATTGAGAGTGAGGGGCAAGAGCTGGTGTTGGTTAAGCAAGATCGAGAAAGGCTTCGTATTTGTTGCGGTTTGCTAAAGGAATAAGTGAGCTGGTTCAGCATTTTTTATTACATACCTTTATTAGCTGTAGACATTTGCAAAGCATAAAATGGATGTTATACTATCATAGGAGATGGCGGCAGTGTCGAGGGAAGTTCGTTTCGTAAAAAGAAGACTTCCAAGTGAGGCGTATGCTTGGACAGAAAGCTATGAGACGCCCCCATCATCTGCCAATCACTTGATCCTATCATTCAAATTTTGTATCCCATGCATTATTTCAATTCCGTAGACAAGATTATGTTACAACAATGTATAATTTTGGCTTCCTGGATGGCTGGATCTTTTTCCTTACTACCTTGTGCTCTTTTTTCATTTTGTGTAGCTTAATGCATTTTCATTACATTGTAAAAGCTTTGATGTAACGTATCTTGAACTCAACCTAAGCCATCCATTGCTTTGAATTCAGTAGACTGGACTTCCTATTGAATCATCTCTCTCTCTCTCTCTCTCTCTCTCTCTCTCTCTCTCTCTCTCTCTCTCTCTCTCTCTCTCTCGCCCTACTGATTTTGTTAGCCGGGGCTTTAGTTGTGAAACCAGCTCTATGTTCCTGGGTGTGGCTATTTCAAATGACTTTCTACACCTACTGGTGGCATCATCCCCTAATATCGGAAAGCGTTCGAACCAGCACGGGTGTGGATGACGAGTTTCAAGAAGATAGGTAAGTCCTAAGGAGGGGGGGCATGGTTCGGCCAAAGACGCAGGATTAGGATGCCGTTGTTTGACAAGTCATCCTTTGCTAGCTCTCAGGGTGTTTGGTTCAGTATTTTGACAGAGGAAATGCAAAGGCCTTTAGTCTAAAGGGTTTTAGAGAAATTCAAATTGTGTTTGGTAAAAAATATTTTGTAAAGCAACTTTGGGTGGAGTAGTGTTTGGTAAAAAAAAATTTGCAAAGGGCTTTGGTTGCAATTTTTCTATTTTTTAATTAAAAGGAATTCAAATCCTTCAACGGCTCTAGCAAAGGGCTCAGGTTGCCAAGCGAGCCAAATCTAGCGCTGACGGCCATTAGCCGAGGTCGCACGACCTTGTGCGGCGACCCCCCGCGACAATCGTGTGACCCAAGTGAGGGCCGCATGGGGTTGCGTGACCCCGGTGAGGGCCGCTTGGGTCGCAAGATCGCAAGCGACAACGAGGTCCCTCACCTCTAGCTGGTCGCCCAGGTCCTAGGACTAGCTAGAAGAAGAAACGAAAGAAAAAAAAAAAGAGAAAAATAAATAAATAAATCGAAAAAATATTAAAATATTATTTAAAATTATCGACGTCAGTTTTGGCTATGCCACGTAGGATGGCAAACATCCATGTGAGTGATTTACAATTAAAATTGGCTGGATGGATTGAATTGACATAAATGCAAAATGTTTTATAACTCAATTAGCAAAAAAAAAGTTTTGAACTTAATAGGCACAATTATAATAAGTTTATGACTTTTTTGATTATTTTATTTTATTTTTTTTCATATATTCATATATCATGTCTTGATATGCTTTCTGCGGTTGGAAACATTATGGGAATTTAATTAAGCGCATCATCATGAAAAAGATGACAAAACCAGGTCGCGTTTTTAAGAATGTCAATTTATCGATGTTTAAGTTTTCAGACATGACTAGTACCTGATTTGGTTAACAATTCTGTTTAGACTTAACAAAAATTCCATAATTTTGACGTATGGATCTTAAATATGTCTGCCCCTTGCCGTAGGCAGCTTTTGGCTCTAATTAGGTGACAAATACCAAAGAGCAACGCGCATGGAGAGACGGAATATGTTTGAGGCATTGGTGACATGAAAAAAAAAAGGCTTGGGATATTGGTTTCATACTAAACAAAATTAAGCTTGGTGGTGGAATTTTCTACATCCACATAAGCTCCATTTACCTTCAGTTGTCCGCACAAGTCATCACATCGGATTTTTTAATGGCAAATTTGGACGGACCTATGACAAAAGGCATTGGCATCAATGTGGACATGGGTGAAGATTTTTGGTGGTATTTCTCTGTTTGATAAACTTACAGGTGTCAGACACTAATTCCTTGACAAACCCATTTTGCAATTTGTACATTGAAGCCTGCCAAGCTTTTCCTCAACATCGACACTTACGGACACACAAAGTTAGAACTGTTTGGGTTGTCCTTAAGAGTTCAAGGAACGATTTTTACGAGTACATAATTTAGTTGATTATAGATCATGCGCAGGTGAATAGACATGTGGATAAGAAGTTAATTTGAATGATCGAGTTCCCTTCAAATTCATTTTAATGCAAGAGTACCGAATTGTCCATTTCCAATTCCGTCAACTGATAGGCTACACGTATAGACCTCACATGTGCTGATGAAATCCAGAAAGTAGACATTAATTGGATAAAGTCATCCTTGAATATGCATTGCTGCGAATCAACAACTTAAGAGGACTTCCCGTTAGGAGCCATATCTGTGATGGCGTGCACGAAGCGTTCGGAGCTGAAAAGCGACTAGATCCTTGGAAGAGCCCGAAATCTGTGCACCGCGACTTCCCGTCACCTGATGCGAACGCGTCTGGAAAATTTTTCCATTCCTACCCGGTTGATCGATCCAGCCAAATAACGATCGGCAATGGCAGCATTTTCGGGCCCGTGAATTGATTTTACAATGAACACGGTAAAGTTAACCGAGGCAATAATTTGGTATGTTCATTTGAATTTGCAATTGTTCAATAAGCTCCACTTATTTGCAACAAGACATTTTTTTTTTCGTTTTTTGCTTTTGGTCTAAGCAATGAGAATTTAAGTGGTTTGTTTTTTCAATGTTTCAATTGTTTTCCATTTGGGCGAAATATAGTTATAAAGTCCGGCACGGCCCGGCCCATTTCGCCCGGACGCTTCTGTACACTCCCTCGCGGTTTGCTCCATCAGGCGGAGCTCTCTAGCAATGGGGGACCGACGAAGAAGGGTCGGCGGCGCGTGCTTCCGTTTCAGCTTCAAGGTCGATTCGATTGTCTTCCGATTCGGTTTGGTGAGGCTGTTGCTCGATTTCTTCCGATCGGCGGTAGGTAAAGATGGCGCGAGTTGAGTGGAATCCGGAGAAGGATTTGCTGGCCATGGTCACACGGAGGATGAGAAGGAAGGTGGGGTGCTTCATCGCTTCAATTGGCAGAGGCTGTGGCCAATCTCTCCTGGTAATTGCTTCGATTCGAGAAAGTTCTGTTTCTTTCTTTGTTCAGTTTGTTGTTGTGCCCTCTGAGTGATTGGCCTTATCTCGTCTTACTCCTTTCGCTTTTCCTAAATGTGCTACTTTTGATTCAAATTGCATTCGATGGAGGGTTGGACGAACACAGAGGTAAAGTGCTCGAATGTCTAAACGAGAAGACCACGTTGAACTTAAGGAATTGGTGTTTTACACAAAAATGAAGAGTGAATGATGGTCATACAAGTGGAAATTTAGAGATGACTTAGTTGTAAGTAAAGAATTCCAAGCTGATATCAGTTAAATGGAGGGACTTTTATTTATAGCAGCGATACATTCCTGTCAACTTCTAGACAAGGTTGGTGCCTTAGGGGATTTTTTCCATAACTTAAACCAACGGTCATCTAGACCAACCGGAAGTGTACCCTACTCCTGTATTGTCATCTTGTTGCCCTTTTCTGTACACCAGTTAAAGTGTCCATCAATATAAAGAACTCGAATTCGAGGGGATGTCATTTATGGTTGATAGTCTAGCCATGTCAGATGATGAAATGCTAGATGCCGACATGGAGTTGGCAGGTTTAGCCCCTGCAGAATACCATCTCAATGTCGTCAGGCATCTATATAGTTTTCCTTCGATTTCTGTTGGTGACTCTCACGATGTAATATTATTTCTGGCTCCTCTTCTTGTACTGATTGAGCGTTCCCTACAAGGAGAGATTTAGTATAGGCTGGAAAGTTTCTCACATTTTGTATTGCTAAAATGTAGGGTCTAGTCTGGAAAGTTTCTCACATCTTGTATTACTTGAAGTTAACATTTATCTTCTTCTGATTACAGAGGGCCATTTCGTCACATCATTTTGATTAATCAAGTCCGTTGTTGGGAATTTAACTTACTTGTGAATAGGATATATCTCAAGCTATGCTGCATATTTGTATACAATCTGGTCAGGGATGGAGGGAGGAGTTGGAGAAAGTGAAGAGACTAGGAGGGTAGGGAAAGCTGCATCCAAGTATGCTAAGTTCTTACATGACATTATCTTTTGGTAATTCAAATTCGTAAGAGCTTATGATTAGATGCCTAGCCTTGGTAATTTTTGTTATCTATTCTCACTGGAAAAATTTAGAGGAGGTATTTTTTCACCAGAAATATCTGAATGCTTCAAACGTCATATTGTCTTCTATAAATGAAAAACATGTTGTTGAGTGCACTATAGTACTTGAACCAATCCTTGAATGGTTTCTGTTGAGATCCTAAGTTGTAGATACTTGTGATCCTTGCCTGAAGTTTGCTTTCATGGATCCACACCACTTTGAGGTTCCAAAGCTGAACAACAAGATTCATTTTTGGATTGAGACAATGGATTGGAGGCTGCCGAAAAGATATAGATTCCCTGGCTTTAAATGACCTACTACCCCAAAGAAACACCATATCAAGCCACCGATATCCCTCTTAGTTATATTGTATTGTTACGGATTTTGATTATCATTTTCTTGGTTTATGTGTGTTCTCTATCTTTCCTCTTCGTCTATTAATTTTGTTGTTGTTGTTGTTTATGAACTCACTTTTCTTTGCACGTTTCATTGTATGTTGTCAATACTGGATTCTCTTAGCTACTCTAATGTACTCCAGGTAAATGTATAACATCATTATGCTAGCGTCCTGATGGCAAAGTTGTTGTCTTGGGACTAGAAGACGGTACGGTTTTGCTGCCTGATGTTGAAGTAAGTTTTCTATGTTATTGCTTTAACATTACGGTCACTACTTCTCAACTAGAAATTCTTCCTGCAACAATCCCTTATCATCAGAATGTGTTCTTCTCTGATCTCTCTTGGGAAAGATTCTGAATTGCTCAAAAGCTGCATGATGCATGGAAACAGCAAGCTTGCTCAACGAACATTTAGCTGCTAATAGAGATGGCAATCCATGTTTATGGTTCATGTCTGCCAATGCCAAATTAAGTGGACTGCTCGATAGGGCAATCTGAGTAGGATAAGCTTAACAAATCTTATTAGAGTCCAATAGCCGGCGAGCTCCTACGACCCTCGCTGGCCACAGTGGTCAAATGCAAATGTTGATCAAGGTTGCTGTAAAGAGCCTTGTGAAAGTCATGATTACTATTGCCTTGTGAAGCTGTAAAGAGCCTTTTCTGATTTATAGTGGTTTAGGTCTTACGATATTATAAAGTGCTCTTACTTTCCCCATAAGGAATAACGTCTTACAAGTTGTGTCTTTTGAAATTTTATCATTTACTCAATTCTGTGGACAGTGGTTTTT